GCTTAACGACTGAGCCACCCAGGCGCCCCATAAAGTGCCCAGATCTTAAATGTACAGCCCAGCGAGCACAAGCAGACCCAGGCCTGTGCTTTTTTGAACGTCACCCTGGTACCTTCTACTGGTGAAGTGGAGGCCTCCAGGCATTCCTCGGTTACATAATAAACGCCTACAAATCACACACAGAGGGCCAGATTCTCCTTGCATTTTAGGCCTGTGAACGTTTGGGGGGAAATGAAAAACAAAAGATTTTTTTTCAAACACCATGCTTTTACTCTTCACCACAACTTCTTAAACCCAGTGTTTGTCCTTGGAGAACTAAGCTCCTGCTCAGTTTGCCTCCTGTTTTAAGAAAGAGAAACCAGATCCGCAGAAAATCTCAGATCAGGACCCTGTCATGTCTTAACTCTTCCTGTGACATGATGACCTATCCCATTCTTGCCTCTTTGAGAAACAGAACTCAGTTAGTAGGAAGACGTTCCCACAGATTTTTACGGAAGATTTTTGGGCTGGTTTTCTTACAGATACGAGATCCTGACTCCGAATGCTATTCCTAAGGGTTTCATGGACGGCAAGCAGGCTTGTGAACGAATGGTAAGCTTTCCTGGACTTCTCTGCTCTGCGGATTACTGACAGAGTCTGTCCTGTGGCCAAGAGTAAGCGGACTCTTTCTCTTTCAGATCCGGGCTTTAGAATTGGACCCGAACTTGTACAGAATCGGACAGAGCAAGATATTTTTCAGAGCTGGCGTTTTGGCGCACTTAGAGGAAGAAAGGGATCTAAAGATTACCGACATCATTATCTTCTTCCAGGCTGTCTGCAGAGGTTACCTGGCCAGGAAGTAAGTGGGAAATCACGAACGAGATGTTTGCCAAGCACGTGCTCATGCCGAGCGTTGCGTTTTGTGCTGGAGATGCAAGAGCGTGGGGCGCCAGGGCCCCATCCCGGGAGGAAAGAGACAAGGGGCCGAGGCGGAAAATACAGGGCTCGGGGGCTCACTTCGGCGTGGGTTCTCAGCGCAGATTTCTCTGAGGCTGTGAACCCCGCAGGACGGGAAGGTGCTGGCCCTGGGAAAGGGGGGCGGGGGGCGGAGCAGCTCACCAGTGAGGGTAGCACAGTGCAGTTCTGGAAAGCATCGGCCGCCTCCCAGCAGGTGCAGCAGCCCCGCGGGGCAGGAGCATGGTGAGTGGGAGGACATGGAGGGGTAAGCCGGGATCTCCGGGTCACCCGGCTGGCAGATCGGACGAGAGTGGGGCCAGAGAGGAATCGGGCAGGCCGCGTGGACAGCTCTGCAGTGATGCTGGGAGGACGGCCCTCCCTGGCCCGAGGAGGTGATGGGGACCGAGAGTGGTGGCTGGACTCGAGATCCGATCAGGAGGGCTTAGGACTGGTGCAGGACTGGTGGCGGGGACGGGGTTTCTTTCATGTCCTGCCACGGGAGGCCGGGGCCTGGGAAGGAGGGTACGGTCTGCCGTCCAGGGTCCTGTGGCCAGCGGCGTTGGGTTTTCAGCCAAATGAGGTGGAGGCAGTGTTTGTGAGTCTTTGCCCACAACGTGGCAGGATCCGAGCTAAGGAGGAGGCACGGAAACTCCGAGAAGAATATGACCTCAGTGACTCACACCAGGACACGGTGGACAAGAAGGAGCAAAAGACTTGGGGTTTTATATGTCATCGTTGCTCACAGCACGTTAACTGTCCCCATAGCCCCCGGCCCACGGGGCCCTGAGGGGACAGGAGTGAGCCCAGCCAGCTGCCTGCCAAGTAACACTTCGACGGCGACCAGAAACAGAACTGTCCGAAGCGCGGGAATGAACTACATACGTTGGCGGAAGTGTGTGTGGCCTCCTCACTGGATCTAAACCCTGCAAAGTTCACGTCGAGATCGGTGATCAGAAACAAAGATCTCTTGAGGACTTAGAACGGGCACGCCTGCGTGACTGCTGCGGAGGGAGCGGCTCGGTCCCTTGCAGCCCGTCAGTCACGCTAGGTACGCGCCGGGCTGGACTTAGGATTCGGGCCCGTTGGTGCCCCAGAGTCCGTGAACTTGACGTCGGGGCGCCCAGGATGCACTGGGGAAGAAGCAGGAAGAAACAGGTGGCTTTGACACTTCGGCTGCAGACGCGGGTCACCCAACCCCCCGCGAAGAGAGTGGGACGGTGCCCACACCCGGCAGCCGTTCGGGTTCCGTTGGGGGTTGCGGGGAAGGAAAACCAGCCACCTCGTTCAGACGAGTGACTGGCATGTTCTTGACCCGTTCTGGCCATCTTCTCCCAGAGGCCCACGGATACACTGGGGCAACGGTCCTCAATACGGAGACTGGGGGACTGTGACGGCGTTTCTTGAAGGAAACTGCGAGAATTGGAAGGCAGATGCTATTTTGTAGTCTCAAAAGACATACTGAAAACTATTGCTCTTGAAGAAACTACTACAATTAAGGCTTGGCCCAGCCTGCGTGGCAGGTAGGCATATATGAGAAGGAAGAAGGCTTTGTAGGGAGCTGAGCAGCGGGCTGGAGGACATTCTAACCGGCAAGGTGGCCATCCGGAGGTTCTGGGACTCCTGCAGGGAAACGTTAACGTCAGGGCAGCAGAAGGGCGAAAAGTCGCCGCTTGTGCCCTAAATCCAGAACCTTCCGCTCTGAAGACTGTCCTACGTGACTCCAGTACATACCGGTCGTTGGTGCAGTGGAGAGAGAATTGTAAATGTTTCTTACTGTCTTTTCCATCTCCTCCAAGTGCTTCTCTCCCCGGGAAAACCCTATCGCCCGTCTTGCAGAGAGTTCTGGAAGGGTCTCGAGAGGAACAGTCACAGATCTAGAGGTGCCCGGATGTTCGTTCATTGACCTGGCAGCCGTACTCTGAGGGGCCTGAGTACGTCGCTCACTGGCTTGGATGCTGGGACCACAGAGTAACTGGGCCGTGCTCTCTGCTCCCGGGGAGCCGCTCCTGGCTGGGAAGGTGGCCGCAAGTCGCCCCAGCGCCCCGAAACCCAGCGGATCCGAATGTTTTAAGTAGCGGGTGGTCCCACAGGGGCAAAACAGACCTGGCTGAGGGGAAAGCTCAAGTCTAGAAGCCCACCAACAGTGTCGGAAACCCAGGTTCCGGAGGGGATGGGGCAGAGCCAGACTGCTGGGCAGGGAGCGAGGGGGGGACCCTCGGAGCCTGTGTCCCCTGGAAGTGCCATCGTGCATAGACAGACTAGTGGCCTCCTCGGAGGAGGGGCAGCACGGCGAACTTGGCTGGGGGCTTGGGGGTTGTTTTGGCAAGAGAGGGGAGGTGGGGCTTCAGAAAGGGAGCTCTGTTCTCGAAGGCGAGCGAGAAATTGAAAATACTCGAGTCAGGACAGTTACAAGTGGGCCTCGGTCGTGCGGCCGGAGAAGGCAGCATGGAGAGGTGGGAAAGCCTAGACCTGGTGACGACGAGATTGGGGTTCGAGAAGCATCTGCGTGTCCTGACTTCTTGGGCCCTTGTCTGTAAACGCGAGGCATTAACCCCACCGTGTGCGGGGCTGCAGAGTGGGGGGAGGAGGAGGGAAATCACCTGGGAAAAGGGGGCCGACGGAAAGGAAAAGCAGTAGCTGATGAAGGATCCGGAGCGCCAGCAAGGGGAGGATGGGGAAGGTCGGTGTCCGCGTCCTCACCGCCTCGGGCGAGCAGGGGTTTATCGGCGCCCGGAGCGCGCACGGCAACGCGGCGGCGGGCCGAGCGGGGCCCGCTCCGCCCTGAGCTGTTCGGGGTTCCGCAGGGCCTTCGCCAAGAAGCAGCAGCAGCTGAGCGCGCTCAAGGTCCTGCAGCGGAACTGCGCCGCCTACCTGAAGCTTCGACACTGGCAGTGGTGGCGGGTCTTCACGAAGGTGGGCCCCCCGCGCGCATGCGCCCCCTCCCCGGGGGAGGGGCCTGGATCGGCGCGCCCCCCTTCCCCCTACGCCGCCCTCACGCCCCGCTTCCGTCGCAGGTGAAGCCGCTCCTGCAGGTGACCCGCCAGGAGGAGGAGCTTCAGGCCAAAGACGAGGAGCTGCTGAAGGTGAAGGAGAGGCAGACGAAGGTGGAGGGCGAGCTGGAGGAGATGGAGAGGAAGCACCAGCAGGTGCGCGTGCGGCCGCGATGGGGACCCTCACCCCCCCGCCCCGGGGACCCGCCGCGGTGTCTGACCCTCCGCCACGTCCTCACTGCTCCCCAAAGCACAGGCATTTGGGAGGAGAAGTGACAGGCGCGCCGCCCCGGGCCGCGTTTGTAGACGAGGGTCACAGAGCAGTAGCGTCAGGGCCAGGAAGGTGAAGGATGAAGGCGGGACTCTCCCTCCAAACCAGCCCGCCTCGGCCGTCACCGTGAACGCATGTGAACCAGTTTCCCTCTCCCTTCGTCCGTGACCCCTTCATAGAAGAAAGTAGCATGACTCGAGTAAGTGTTACTCAGGAAAGCCTGAGACCCCAGAAGCAACCAAAACCGTTTTCATCTAGCTTGTTGTGCTGTAGCTACGGAATATCCGAAAGTTTTGCCAGCGATGTTACATGTTTTTTTTAAAAGATTTTATTTATTTATTTGACAGAGACACAGCGAGAGAGGGAACACAAGCAGGGGGAGTGGGAG